AGTACTGTAGCTCAAAAAACAGCAAGTATCTATTCTTAAAAGGGGACTCCGACCAAAAATTTTTATTGTCTTAAAATGTTTCAAAAAATATGTATTTTCCTAATATTATTGCAGAAAAATTCAGAAAAAATCCTAAATTCCCTTTTAACGGCGTTGAAAAAAATAGGATTTGAACTCCCGCGCAGTGAGAAACCTAGGCCACGGCATCATAGCGCCTTTCTTACATGGAAATTTTTCCGGGTTTTTTTTCGGTTTTCATGTCCGGCAGGTTAAAAAACGTAAAAAACCACTGTCGGCCACTTGAAAAAACGGTTGTCAGGCGCCGTGGCCTAAGTTTCTCACTGCGCGGGAATTCAAATCCTCGTCCCTCCTAGCAACTTTTTTTTGAAAATTTTTCGCTTTTAACGGTATTGTTTCGAATTTTTTCGCTATAATATTGTGAAAATAGACAACTTTTCGAACATTTTAATGCAATAAAAATTTTTGGTCGGAGTCCCCCTTTAAACATCAGGTTTTTTGCAATTTTTCTTTTTCAAAAATTTTTACGGATTCTCAAACGACACTCCGTATGCCGATAACCTTCCCCATCTAACGCCCCCCCCCCCCCTCAGCGTACTATTCAAACGGCCCCGAAAAAAATCAATAAGTGTCCTCCTCTATCCTTGCCCTATTCTCTGACTTTTTTCCCTCTTCTAAAAATGCTCCAAGAAAGATCCGATATTCTGAAAAACGATAGACGTCTTCTGAAAGCATGCATCCTATACGAAACGCTTCAAAATAAGCCAATTTTCGAATCTTATATAAGTGTTTGCAAAGCAGTTGGACATGATGTTATGGAGTACGGTGATTTCGAGTACTGGTATTTGAAATTTTGCAATAATCAAAATTTGGATTTTGAGGATGAGCCCAAGTAAGTTTCTCAGCTTTTAAAGAAATTTTTCTAACAAAAAACGGCAATTTTTTGAACTTTTACGCTCCGCCCCTTTTGTCCAAGCGTCACATAGTTTTCATTTTTGAACGCAATTCGGGGAAAAAACACGAGCCAAACTGTGCGGCGCGCTTGCAAAAGGGGCGGATTCTTGAAATTGGTAATGGTACCCCAAGCTTCAATAATACCTATCAGACAGTCAAACTTCAAAAAAAAAACAAAGAAAACTTTGAATTTTCCAGAAGTGAGCAAAAGAAACTCGAGCAGCTTCCAGTGGAGATTCAAGACATGATTGTCCAGAGAGTGGATCCAATTTACAGGTATTTTTTGAAGTTTTTTTTTGTTCAGTGGAGCTCGGTAACCTGTCAGAGAAATTGAGAAAATTGAGCTCAAAGTTTACGGTTTGTGTGTGCTTCCATGCGATGAAATACAGTAGCACATTTTAATTGCATAAGTTGTTTTCACGGTTTTTTTAAAAGTTTGGATTTGAAAATTAGCATTTCCAAACAAAAGACCGTTTAGATTCATTAAAAAAGGACATTCCGTTTATTGGAGAGTCTAAACAGTTCATAAAATATTCCAGAAACTCGGTCCGCTCGATGAACAGTACACTGAAGAGTCTAGCGGAGAAACACAGTTCCAGTTATGAAAAAATCGATATTTTCTTATCAATTGATTCTTTGAATATCTCTTTGGACAACAAACGCTTCGAATTTGTGAAAAATCAAAACTCATGCCTCGTTCAAATAGACAACGGAGAGAAGGTATTGGAGAAGGAAGACTTCTTGAAATTAGGAATGAGCAATTTGATTCGAATTTTGATTTCTTCAAAAATCAACACTCTCATCCTGAGATTATACTCCCATGAGGACAAATTAACATCGAATTTCATCAAGAGACTGCCCAATCAACTTGAAGTAAAATCTTTCAATATCCTAAAACGTGGAAGCCAAAATATGCTGAAAATGCTGAAAATTATGAAGCCTGAAACACTAAAAACGATTCAGTTGGACTCGAGAGGAACACCAGAGGAACATTTTAATGAGTTATTCGCAACTGAGCAATTCAAAAATGCGAAGAGAGTGAATATTCAAAGTTTTGGAATGGTTCAGAGTTTTGAGGAACTCAGCGAGAATTTCCAGCATTTGAAACAGTTTAATGTTGGTTTTGAAACTATGGAAGTTGAGGATATTATTAAAATTCGAGATGTAAGTTTTTTTTTCTCCTGGAAGCTTTACTGGGCCAGTACTGCAATCTGTTTTATTTTCAGTGGTTACCACTTTGTCCGAATTTCAAAAAATGCTGCATTGAAAAGAAGAGGAACCGAGTAGCTGAGTTTGCTGAAGCCCTTGGGGCCCAAGTTCCAGAAGGACACCAAGGAAATTTTATTCATAGACATCAGATAGCTAATGGATACTTGAAGTTCCAACTGGAGAGGGATGGAGTCAAGATTAAAAGGAAATTGAATATTTGAATTTTTTTTCTATACATAAATTCTCATTTTTGATAAATTGATTTTGGCTTTTTAAAACTTCCATTGGAATTTTTCTGATAACCAAGTTCCGAGCTGTGGATTGAGCCATATCTACCGTAAAACCTCTAATAGAACGACACCCGGATCGTCCACTTTGAGCCTATATATCTCATTTACTGTGAAAGATATCAAAAAGTGGCTAACTAGTAAAATGTTGCTGA